CCCCCGCCAGCTCGTAAACTCAAGCACAAACTGCAAGCGACGAAATTACTTTTAAAGCCACTTCCCTTGGAGATGGTCGCATCTACATAAATTATTGAAATCATCGTTATGCTCCGAAAGAATAAAAATTTGTCTTCAAAACTTCAAAACATTTTTAACGGATCTCTGTCGTATCAATATCAATAAAGGCAGAAACAACGACTTGCTTGACGATAAACTGCTTACATTAACAATATCTGTAAGTTCCGAACTAACGACGCCAAAGCCGGGAAGATACTCCGCGTTACTAGTTTATGGTGAGAGTCGTGCATCAAATATGGATCTCTCCCATACGACATCGCCGCTCCCCGAAGAAACAACGTCAAGAGGAAGCTGTTGCGAGGCACGGAAACCGAGGGAACGACGACGGAGATGTATCTGGGAAGACGGAATTAAGCTTGATTCTTACAGCGCCGTGCATCGTGGACCCCTCGCCAAACACACAAAGTGCAATAAGCCACACCCTGGGTAAGAACTTGTGAGGTCAGGATTATGGCTGCAATGTCCAAAATCGTTGTACATCAATTTATTACGAAATATCAATTTAATCACATTACCTTTTAAGTGATCCTGTAGCACCTACGCGAATTAAATTTTCTCTTTTACACTGACCTTGTTTATGTTCGGGTACAGAAGTATATTGAAAAAAGGTCGCAGCAGCAAGCATTCCGTTATCCACTGTGGGTAAAATAGAGCAGCAAAAAAATTGTTTTGAAACGTCGCACATTGGCGTCTTTCTTGGTTTTTTTCCATCGTCGCATGACGTCACCTTTTGTCGTACACACTGAATATGAGAATAGTGTCGTGAAAGAGTAAATATATTTAGGAATATAATATGTGAATCTTCCCGGCTGAATCAAAACAGTTTTAAAGACTTGATATCTTTCAAGTCTTCCTGGCTCTCTTACTAAACCATCGCTATCAATCACATGGACAGAGGCAGTTTGGTTTTCTGTCAATTTTTACGTGAATTCAAAGTCAGTATATTACAGGTGAGTCAAAACCAGACGGGTATCCCGTCATTCCGCCCGGTTGGTCCCAGCCCGAGAACCCCCATGGGCCGCATCTCTCCCGCCTGGGAGCCCTCCGGAGCGGTGGGTGGACGGCGGCGCGAGCGGCCGTTGCCCGCGGGGTGCGGACGGGAACGTGGGAGGGGCGCCGGGGGGAGCGCGGCGCGGTGCAGTTTTACGAGGCGGAGATAAAGCGAAGGCGGCGAGGCGACGCGACGCCGCGCGAGCACTTTACAAGCGCGATACGCCCCCTCCCCCGCCCCGCCCACCTAGCACATCCCCTCCCCGGGGATTGCGAGCGCGCCTCCGCCTTTGGACTTTCGCTCACCCGCGGGCCCGTCTTCCAGGAGAGCCCCCTTTACCAATACCGCATCCAAAATACATGCGCCCTTACCCGCCGCCTTTGCGCCCCACTGCCTCGGGATTTCGGTGAAAATTTAAGTCTGAGGCAAAATGTATGGAAAACATGCATGTATCTAATTATTAATTAAATTCCGTGCGTAATCAGGGAGGAAACTTGACATTTCGAAAAGATTTTGATTTAGGGCGACATAGGTTCATCTTATTATGTACTGATAAAATAGTTCGTTACTACTTTTTGTCAGTTTTATTTTGCCTTCACACTGTAAATGCCTTAAGAGTAATATACAATTTTAAACTACTCATGAGAATATTTATGCCGGTTAGGATAGCCAAGGTGTCGAAGACCGAGGAACCGTGCCTCGGGCCTGAATGGTCGCATGTTTGAATCCCGTCCGGAGCATGGATGTTTGTGGTATCCGTACAGCGTTATCATTACCCCTGATGACTTGGTGATCGTCATATGATCCTAGTAGTTGAATATCTCCCTTAAATTAGTAAAATCATAAATAAATTTAGATAAAAATAACTTTTAAACTATTCGCAGGTTTAGTACTGACAATAGTTGCGTATCATTAACGCAAACCAGGCATTTCTGGCAACTCACACAGTTATGAAAATCAAGAGATAGTTCTCGGGTAAGCGCAGGGCTGGGACTTAGGACGCAATCCAAACACTCGCTTTACAGGGCAAGTCGATAACCCCGACTTCCCACATATTCCATGAAGGTAAAATAAGAAGGGCGCATTTGATCATAAGAATTAAACGTTAGGCCTCTTTCACATCTGCATGAAACAAATAGAGCGGGCACCCGTGGTACCACATTGGCCAGGCTTAATTTTTATCTGATTCCCGGAATCCCCTCGCCCTCAGACATCCACGAGAAAGAAACTGAGGTACACGTCATGTCTCGCTAATATTTTCGACGGCCGTCGAGAAGGGTAGAATTTTAAAACAGGGTGGTCTTCCAGAGGTTAAACTGTAAATTATTTAAGTGAACATTTTAAGAAAATGATCATTGTAACCTCGCCAGCCCGGATGGCCGAGGTTGCTACGGCTGAAGGGCCGTAGGTGCTTCGGTTCCAAGGGTCACAGGTTGGAATCCCACCTCGGGCAGTTTCTCGGTTTTCGTGTTGTGCTTGCATGTTCTTCCTACGGTGCCTCCTACAGCTAGAACCATCACTGAAGTCGCTATACAATCAAGTGGATAAAAAGCGACCGAAATAATCATTGCAACCATATAGAGTAGGGACCATTAATCATTTGAACAGATGTTCTGAATCCCTAGTTTGTCCCACGCGTTTGAATTAAACCTACCCGACAACCCCATGCATTTTTTCTTCCTGGCCAAATGACCCACTCCGCTGCTTCCGACACCAACACTTGAATAACGTCGTGCGTGGCGCGGCTTGCGCAGATGATCGACGTGAAGGGGCCGGCGAGCGCGGGCTACGGCGGCGCGGGCAACATCTTCGTGTGCCAGGCGGCGCCGCGCGCCGAGCCCTACGCGTCCCAGGACCTCTACAACCCTGTCTACGAGGAGCTGTCCAACGGTGAGTGCCGCGCCGCGCACGCGGACTTCGAGGACGTGAACCGAAACACATGTGGCACGTGAAGTTCTTAAGTTACAATTCATTTCGTGTTATAGGTTTGTGTAAGTAGGCAACTGCAATTTTCTTACTAAGATTTCGCACTTCTTAAGGTTTAACTGTTGTACTGTAATTGGAAAGCCATGGTATTTTTTAGTAAAATATATAATTGCTGTTTAAAAAATGTTAATTTATTTAAATATATTTCTGGAAATTAATTGCAAATAAAATCAAAATTAGTTGGTATTACAAAAATTGTTTGAATACATTTGTGAATAGATTTTAACCGGCTGACGCACGGAAAATCGACCTTCGACGGGACGTCACATTACCAAAATGTTCTGATAAAAAGGGCTTTGGGAAAGAACGTTCTTTGGCAATTAAAATTCACAATCCGACGTGGGTGATTAGATCAAGTTTAGCCATTCGTGTATTTGCAAAATACAGCACAAACACGGAAAGTTCCCTTAATTTACTTGGATTGGCAGTCCTGCTAATTTTGAATGGTGAGGGCCAATCTTTAGGCCAGTGAGTGTGTTTTGAAAGAAACTTGGGAATAATTGACTACAGATTAAAAAAGGGGGAAGTTGATTAAGGGAGAGTAATTTAGGAGAACTATGATGGGGGAAAGTAAATTACAGGAGATCTTAAGTTGAAGATAAATCCACCCGCATTGCATTTTGTAAATATTGTATTGTTCATTAATAGGGCTCAGTTTCTAATGACATCATCTTTTCATTGTTGCATTTTAAACGTGGCTAATGTGAGTATCACGACACATGGGTTATAACAATACCCTAATAACTATATATTGATGTAATTTTGACATTTTCAATTTTTAGGTCATTCTTTCGGAATTCATTGCGTCATTGAGTCATTTTTACGCATGTTTACTTTTCGTGATTTTTATTAGTAAATATTACATGAATGAACAATGACAGACCAAAACCAAGTTTTAAATGTATCGTCCATTTATGTCGAAATTCACTGCTGCAGTGAACTATTCTTCTCTGCAGTGGATTCTTCGAAATCTCAAAATTAAATAGATCTTCGGTACTTTTTCGACCTTTTAAAATTGACGATTTGAAGATCGGAGCTAAGGATAACGTTTCGTACAAAAATAAAGGCTTAATATGAAATATAGTTTCATATAAATGAATTAGAATTATAATTGTAAGTCATGAAATATATAAACATCATCACTTCCCACTTTTTAAATTGTTCTTTTTTATGATAAAGTCATTTTATAGGCCATGGTCAATGAACTTGATCATCAGAATCTGAGCCCTGTTCATACAATAATGATGTTTATTAATAATTTCGCTTCTTCATAATAGACGGGCTATAATACATGACTAAACCAAGTGCGCGCGTGTGTGTGTGTGTAGGGTCCGGCGAGCGGCCCGACTCGGAGCCCGAATCGGAGGCGCTGGCGGGCGGCAGCGAGGACGAGTTCGCCGACGAGGAGCTGTCGCTGGGCGGCGACGCCGACGCGGCG